ATATGTATCGATATAAACAGTAGAGTTTGTAATTTTTTGGTTTTATAATTGATTGGATCAATGATAGTCTATATGTATTCTTCTAATCTTCTTTTTTTAATTTAGTTTATGTATTTTTTGCGAGGTTGGCTATGGATTCTAGCCCACAAGTTCAATATTGTAAGTTCTCTTCTTCTTGTTGATTTCGTAATGCTCAGTATTGTATTTTTTTTTTTCTCTTCTTCTTGGTTTCATCGAAGCATTCAAATAAAATATTATAGGGAATTTCTGTATTTTATGTTTTTGCAAGTAGCGCCAAGAATTTACGCGGTTTGGATCCAAAACTTGAATTTTAGATCTTATCCGGATCTGGGTATGGATCCAAGATTTGAATCTAACGGGTTAGATAAGGATCCAAATTTTGGATCTGAATAGCAATTCGGATCGGATATAGGTACAAGTGGATCCTATCCGGATCTGATCCAATTATATATATATATATATATATATTATAAAACGCCTATAGGCAAAAATGAACAGTGATTTCGCTTACCATCATCACCATCCAAAGTTCATCGCACGGTCACGATTTTCCAGTAGTATTTTATTTTTCATTTTTTTTCTACAAATCAGAATGACTTGAAATTTGGAGCGTCTATTCATAAAAAATAGGTGAATCTACGGATAAAATATCAAAAAAATATTTTACATGAAAAAAATTGAGCAAAATACCCCCGACAAATTTTGGCGGTATTTTGGTAAATATATTTTTGCGAATTATTTTTTTTTATATTTTTATTAGATGCGCCTCACTAAGATGTACATAAGCTCCAAATTTCTGGTCATTTCGATTTGTAAAAATAAAAAACATGAAACACTATCGGACATTCTTGACCGTGCAATGAAGTTTGGATGGTGATGAGGGTAGGTAAAATTACTATTCATTTTTGCCTATAAGCGTTGGGAAAAGTTTATATATATATATATATCTTCTATAGTGCTTTTTTCTATATTATTTTATATAAAATAATTTTCTTGGATCCAATTGGATCTTGATCCAAATCTGGATGTTATCTCTACTTTTTGGATTCAAATTCAGATCTGAATATTCTGGATCCAATGGGGTCCGAATTCTGATTCAATTCCCATGCATACTTTTTCTTATCCGAATTTAGATTCCGATAGATCCGAACCCGATCTGGCCATTCTCAACCCTATTTGCAAGGGCACTTAGGTGACATTTTTCTTGTTTTCTTCTCTTCTTACTATGAGAGATTTTTTTTTTCCCTCGTTTGAGACAAGTCAAACGAAGTTTCTTCCTAATTATCACTCAATATTACTTGGAGGAAAAAGTAAAATGTACAATTACAAATGCACATAAAAAATCCATCGAAAAATGTTGTTTTAATGTTGAAGAACCCTCTAATTAATCATCTCAACATCGAGATGTATGAATATGAAAAAAAAATATTTTGAGTTTAAAAACTAGTGCATCTTGCAACACATTATCTAGACCGTCCATTTTCAAGATTTTCATATGTTTACCGATCTACTTAATTTTAACCATTTTTGGAGCTTAAAGTTTTATAATTGAATGTGAAAATAGATTTTGAGACAATCCTAAAAAAATTTTAGACCAAAATTACATGTTATAATAAAATTTGGAGGTGCGCCTTAATTGGATTGTTTAATGTTGCAACCTTATATAAACCGCACCCTTACTTGAAACATTAATTAGCAAACCGCACCCTTACTTGAAACATTAATTAGCAATATGGATGTCTTTTGTCTCAACTTTAATCATTAAAGGGAATCGACGGATCATATAGCAAGGAATAATTATTTGGTGAGTTCTCCAACTCATTCATCTGCCCCCATCTTCAAAAGGATTAAGGACCAGAAATACATCCTAGATAAAATAAATAAATAAATAAAAATAAAAACAAAAATAAAACAAAAAGAAAAACAAAAAAAAACAAAACAAAGGAATTACAGTTCGGTATTTTAGACTTGGAATTCTTTTTATTTCTTCATGTCCATTCATCTCAAGGTCGAGATGATCCATTGGACGGTTCTCCTATACCGGAATGCTCTCTACCGTAGGATTTTTGAGGTGCACCTTACTTCAACAGTATAAGGTCGCAACCTTGTATAAACATTTTCCTACTTGTTTTTACATTTTCCAACTTTTAAAAATTTTCATAAATACCCATGGGCACAAATCAAATTTTTAAAATCTATTGTTTTCGACTTTTCAACTTCGTTTGGATGTGCTTTGTTTAATCATGTTTTAAATATACTTTTCATAATTTTTTTTACACTCTTTAGACGGGCCGGGACCTACCCGGTTAGGCCGATTGAACCAGCCGGTTTACCGATTACTCGGAACCAGCCCTTAGCCGGTTCAATTTTTCGAAAAATGAGTCCTTGTAAAAGGCAAAATAACTCTAATAAAGGTCGCGGGTGACCATGTGTTATCGGCACGAAGCAGGGGGAGGCCACATGCTCTTCCATGGAGCAAGGTCTCATGCCTCCCTAACCTACAAAGAAAAGGGATCTCTGAGAAGTTTAATTGTGGTACAGTGATCCAAATTTTGGAGCAAGTACTCATGCCTCCATAACATACAAAGAAAAGGGATCTCTGAGAAGTTTAATAGTGGTACAGTGATCCAAATTTTGAGATTTTGAGGTGTAAAGAAAAGGGATCTCTGAGAAGTTTAATAGTCGAACAGTGATCCAAATTTTTGAGATTTTGAGGCGTAGGACACAGGTCAAGATAAGTTATATTTTGGGGTCTACTTTGGGAGCTCTCACCCACCATCGACTATCAACCTTAAAGTCTTGATAGGTTATATTTTGGGGTACTACTTTGGGAGCTCTTACTCACTCTCATTCATCAACCTTAAAGTTTTGATAGGTTATATTTTGGGGTACTACTTTGGGAGCTCTTACTCACTCTCATTCTCTCAGATGGACTATCAACCTTGATAGGTTATATTTTGGGATACTTCTTTGGGAGCTCTTAGTCACTCTCAGATAGTCCCTTTCTATCTGAGAGAATGAGAGTTGAGTAAAGAACTCCCAAAGTAGTACCAAAACTCACTCTCAGATAATCCCTTTCTATATGAGAGAATGAGAGTCGAGTAAGCTCCCAAAATAGCACCCAAGGACTATCAACTTGATAGGTTATATTTGGAGCTCTTACTCAACTCCCATTCTCTCAGGTATTCTCTCATATAGAAAGGGACTATCAACCTTGATAAGTTATATTTTGGGTACTGCTTTGGGAGCTCTTACTCAACACTCATTCTCTCAGATCAGATAGAAAAGGACTATCAACCTCGATAGGTTACATTTTGGGGTACTACTTTGGGAGCTCTTACTATAGAATAGAAAAGGAGGGTACCACTTTGGGAGCTCTCACTCACTCTCATATAAGATAGAAAGGCACTATCAACCTTAAATCTTGATAAGGCCTTCCCTTGAATCTCCTTTAGCGTGGGCTCGAGTCCGGGACTTCAATAATTTCAAACAGCACATTGTGCCAGTTTTTCACTCTAAGCTTTGATGTTATCTTTCTTCTTCTTATTCTTCTTCTTCTTCTTTTTTTTTTTTTTTGCATGTTGCGGAAAACAGGGGAACTTTTGTTTGACAATGGAACATCCAATTGCAGTGAAACTACATTAGAAGGACCCTCGAGTCTTGTTCACAATTAACATCACCAAAGATGATAAGTTCCCCGTTGCATTCACGGGTATATGATATTAATTTTGAAACTGTTTGAATTATAATGTGGTCGGTCGGATCGGCCATACTTAAAAGTTCTCGACTTTCATCAAATTTCTGAACTTCGTTCATCCTAATTTGAAGCTCTTGCATTTCAGTTTCTGCTTAACCTGAGTTTGCGAGAGAACTGATGCAAATGCAAGAGAGAGAACGTTCAACTGAGAGAAAGAAAAGTGAACCGAGGCTTTAGTCCGTCTCTACCTTCAATTTCAGACCAAATATATAGAACAATGATCCAAGTCCACTGATCTTTGTAATGGGGGCACAGTTAACAGTAAAGAAGTTGCAAGTCCAGGTGCAAGTCAAGGAGAGGGTATTTAGCGGAAATCATTTTAATTCACCGAGTCAAAAGAGCTGCTTGAGAAGAAAAAAAAATTGAATTTGGCATCTATTTAAGAGTCACTAAATAATTAGTTATGAAAATAATAAAATTTTTACTTCTTCGACACGATATTGCCAACCAAAAATTGGACAACCCCTTTTAGATCAAGGTTTTTTTTTTTCAAATTACCAAATAGCCTAGTTATTATTATTATTATTATTAAAAGCTGTGTATCTAAAACCCTCCTAGCCTGGCTTTTGGTTGAGGGAGCTCATGGATGGCATGCAGGAGAAGAGAAACAACTCCACTTCTATTTTATTTTTTTAGGGAAAGCTCTATGTGACCCAACTACATATAAACTTATATGTAACCCTACTTATCAGCTATTCAATCTGAATCGACAGCTACAATTGCTCATATCATAATGTCACGTCGATACATTGTTTTTTTATATTTTTTTCTAAAAAACCTTTCTGCTTGAAATATAGGGCATCCCATCTCCTTACTTGGGGTGCACCTAGAAAAAAGATAAATTAATAATAATAAAATCTCATAAAAGACCAAAATGCTCCCAAAAGTTTTAATGGTATTCTGATAAGTTTTTATCACAAGAAATATTTTTTTTTATTATTTGTATCTTGTACACCTTTATGTACACTTTGTGAGATATGCATGCCTCAAATTTCACCTCCAATATGATTTATAAAATATAAATTAAAAATAAAATAATCTTGAGCCGTCGGATCAAGATCTAATGCTCAAGAGAGAACTTATATGACAGTGGCTCAACCCACTCAACCATCTACTCAATCCGATGGCAAAAATTAGGAGTCAAATATACCATACATGTGGTTGAGATCACACGAAAAGCTTTCCCTCACATGCCGCTCTGTCGAATTCCTTTCAGACTGAATTGGTTCCAAAATATCTTTTATTTCATAGCCATGAGGCCACTTAAATGATGCAAAGAACAAGTAGCATCCTACTTAGTAGGAAAAACTTCAGCCAATCTCATGAGTTACATAGCAAAATTCTTAGCAATCTACCAAAATATACCCACTTTCTAAATATTGAGACAGAGAGAGAGTATGGGGGAAGAGCATTTGTAGAGCGAGTCACAAGTGAGTAGAACAGAAATATATGATTGAGAAACGAGCAAGAGAGAGAATCAAAACCCTTGCAAGAGAACCAAAAGAGTTCGTAATAAATTACGAAAACAAAGATAATTGCTTATCTCATTTTCATTAAGGAAAACCATAATCCCACCTCAATTCCACATTGCCAAGAACAGCTCCATACTACGCTTGAGCAAAACAGGGCACAAGCTCATACGCACCTGCAAAGTTCACAAGCAAATCCCATCACCCAACGCCCTCCATCTCTAATTTTAAATAAAAAACATTACCCATGATAAGCAAACCAAAATGACACATATTTCAACTGAAAAAATCCTCTCTCTCTCTCTCTCTCTCTCACACACACACACACATAATTCAACTGAAGAATCCTCTCGCACACACATAATTCAACTGAAAAATCCTCTCTCAAATTAGGGAAAATAAAGGATAGAGAAAAGGAAAAAAAAAGGGTTTCGAGGCCGCACCTCATGGTTGAGACGAAGAGCTCCAAACCACGAGGTCCCAGCACTCGACCCTTTATTTTGTTTTCTTGATTTTCATTCAAGTGTTTAATAATCAGTATTTTCTTTATTTTTAAAGCCAAGTATCACAAGAGAACTACGATTTATGACCGAGTTACAACTTTGGCTTGGGGGAAAGCCTGCATTTGAGGTCGTCAGCCACTGCATCGATGAATTCCTCAGTGTTCAAATAATGCTCTCTAGTCACCCTGCCATCACCAAAAATACATAAGATGTTTATATTAAGCATCTCAAAACTCTGGACTTACATTGTAGAAGAGAGAGGGGTGGGGTTTGTCTTTTAGACTAGATAAGGGAAAACTGCAGGAAAGAGCCAATGGATTTTTTGAATCACGAGATAGTGAAATTTCCATACACACAAATGAGTTCCTTCCCAAACGAATAAAAAAATGTTTGTGATGAGTAGGCTGACTCGTGCATTGCCCTTGTTTTCAAGGAATATGGACCCAAGACACATCCCAAATCACTACAAATCTAGTTCCACCTTGAATTCATTTGTTTGGAGCTCCAAAAACAGTAAAAAGACCTGATGTCTAAAGAATTGAAATGAACAGTCCAAAAAAATCAAAATTGATCTTTTAATTACCCAAAAAAAACTGTCCAAAAAAATTATGAAATAGATCTTCTTTTTTTTTTACGAAAACAAAATAGATTATTTTTAAGGCTCAATATTCAGTTTTTTATAAATTCATGATCGTGGTAGTTGAGATGTTAGACCTGTAAAAGTTTGGTTCCAAAATGCACCTCTAAGATGGATTTTGGACGGGTTGACTCACAGTAAAAGGTATATCCCAAGAAACTTAAATCATACCCTCCCTCGAAAACAAGTATTCTTCATCACATTTTAAATGCTTCACTCTCTCGTTTTTTCCCTCAAGTCTTGAAAGTACTTCGCTCAGTTGAAACAGTGAGCTTGTTTTCTTACTTCCCTCCAGAAGATTAAGAACTAAGGTTTGGAATTATAGTCTAAACAACAATTGTTTCATGCGGCCTGGACCGCAATTCTACAATATGCGGTCTAGAGGTATAAAGCATTCATCTTAAAGATAATGCACATAGGTGGTCCATCTAAAAACAATCATAACTAACGGTCCAAATGTTTTCTTAATATAATTATTATTTCACTATCAAAAAAATATAATTATTATTTCTAGTTTTTCCAAAAATAAATTCATATTCATGATCTCCATGTTAAAGATTATATATTCTCTAAAAATTAGGATCAAATTATATTATTTATTGCCAAGCCCACATTTCTACATGTGCGGGCTTGGCCGCATGCTACCGCGTCGTAGTCTAAAATCACAACATTAGATGTTGCTTCCTTTCATAGAAGAAAACTTACTTGGAACCATGGATGATAAGAGCAAGATCCTTGGTCATCTTCCCAGACTCCACTGTCCCCACACATGCAGCTTCCAGCTTCTCTGCAAACTCCTTCAACCTTGCGTTGTCATCCAGTTTTGCCCTATAGAAAAAGCACAACCCATCTATATGAAGAATCGTAAATCCATATAACCATACTTCTAAACCACTCTCTCTCTCTCCTCTCC